GAATGAATGAATAAATAAATAAATAAATAGATAAATAAATAAATAAATAAATAAACAAATAAATAAATAAATAAATAAATAAACAAATAAATAAATAAATAAATAAATAAATAAATAAACAAATAAATAAACGAATAAATAAATAAATAAATAAATAAATAAATAAAGAAAGAAAGAAACGAAGAAGGGAAGAAAAATAGGAAGAAATATTTCGAATTATAATTCATATATATGAATAAAAAAGAAATCTTCAACATTATGGCAAGTAAACATTTTATTTTTCCGAAGCAATGTAATTTTAAACTTAAATATAATTAAATTAAATGGGACAATTCACAAATTCTTGCTATAATAATTCCTTCTTTTCTTTGATTGCACTAATTTTATTTGGATCTTTTGTCAAGAAGAATCTGGAAATTCTCAAATTATTTTTTCTTTTTTTTTCATTGAAAAAAAAAAAAAAGAAGGAAAACGAATCGAAAATTTTGTTCGTCGTTTTTTTTTTCTCTAATAAAAAAAATTTTTTTAATCAAGTTAAAATGCATGCTGATTTATAAAATTGAAATTTTCTGAAAGGATCGACTGAAAAGACCGCATTAAACTATTCATTCATTTGACGATTATATGATAAATCTAGCTTATCAATGTTTATTTCACTTATATCTTTCTAATCTTTTACATATATAATCATTAACCAAAATTTATCAGACGATAAAATGATTTAAAGTATGTATTGCTAATAAATTTTACTAAAAGAGAAAATTGAAATTTTTCATGACTAATTTTCTTCCCATAATATTTTAATAGGAAAAAAAGGTAAAAAAAAGAAAATAAAGGAAGATAACAATTCTAAAGCTGATATTATGATTGTATTATCATTTTTAATCTCTTTTCTTTCTTCCTGTCACATTGCTGCTTATTTTTGTCATTTACTTTTCACAAAATTTCCGATGGATCGATGCGTTTATAAGATAGCAAAAATGATTATTATTAATTGTGGAAATAAATTTTTAAAAAATTTAAAATATGCGAAGAAGAAAACACTATCATTTATATGTAGGTCATCTGAAGGCAAACACTCACTAAGCCAGTTCATTTAGCGGGTCAATTCAAATCAATCAAGTTTAAATAGATTACATCGTAGGGTTTTTCTTCTTTTTTTTTTCCCCTCTTTCTCTTTTTCTCAGAAAAGCAATTGAAATTAAACAGATATGTGTACGATTTATCCGAATAATGATGAAAACATATTATCGGCTCAATTGTTTATGAGAAAATGGTTAAGCAAACATTAAATGAATATATTAACTATTTTCATTATAAAATGATGATTAATGGATTATGTATGATATTGATTTGTAATTAATCAATTAATATTACTGTATTTCATTTCAATCCATAATTCTTTAGTTATTTTTATGGAAAATATGAATTATAAAATGAATTTAAAGTAGGATGCATTTAAGCCAAAAGTGATTCATTCCTTTTGTTTTATTTTTTATTATTTTTTTTTCCTCCCTTTTTCTCTCTCTCATGGGAAAAATGAAATTTGAGCGTATTTTTTATGGTGAAAAATATGAAATGTTTGCTTATATTTTCTTTATGCAATTAAAAAGTTCATTAATAAAGTTTTTATTTTTCAATCAAAAACATTAATATAATAGTTGAATTTGAAAAAAAAAAAAAAAATACTATTTTTATCAGCAAATCAATCACTACAGAATGCTCCTAATAATCCTAATATTTGCTCAAAGGATGAAATTAACTTTAATTATTTTACGATCAATAAATTAACCCCGCAAAGAATAAATTGTATTTGTGTATGTGTGTGTATGTGTGTGTGTGTGTGTGTGTGTGTGTGTGTGTGTGTATGTATACATATATATGCATATATATATATGTATGTGAATATATGATATTAATAAATCATAATGTTTTAAAGGATATTTTTGTATTGAAGTATTCGTATCAATCAATATACTATCATATAATTGCATTATCACTATGAAATGATAATGGTGATAACAGAGAATGGACATATTATCAAATGTTAACATTTTTGTTAACTCTTGAAGAAGTTATGGGATATGCTGAGAAAATAGAATTTATCATATTTGAATTGGATGAAAGGGGGGAAAAAAAAGAAAAATGGAAACAAACTCAATTTTGATTACCCTACCTTAATTTAGTTTTAACTTCACTTTTGTCATATCTATCATTTTATATTCGTAACATTAGCTTAAATTAATATGACAAAATTCTTTCATCAAAAAACTTGTCAACCATAACTGCAATCAATAATTTGTTTATAATAATAAATGTTATTTATTCAAATGTTTTCACAATTTTTTTTTTTTAAAATTATCCATAATACAATTTATAAGTGAAAAGAAATTAAGAGAGAGGAAAAGAGAGAGGGAAGGGAGAGAGAAAAAAAAAGGGAGAAAAAGTGAAGCATAAATAATGACAATACACTTTTAAAGCAAAAAGAAAAGAAAGCAAAAGCTAATTAATTATTAAATATCTCATATGTGAAAAATAAATATAAATGTTTAACAATTGATTTTTTTGCTTATTTCATGCATAAATATTAATTACCAATTAATTCACTCATTTTTGTTTATTTTAAAAAATATTTCATAAATAATATTAGAAATTTTTTTTATAATTGATATTCATAATATTTTTAGCATTTTCATTTAATCAAATTTTTGAAAAATAACATTTCGAAAAACTAATAGATTAATCATAAAATTTCAATCCATCGTCTGATTTTGAATCCAGAAAATCTTTAAAATGAATTGAAACATTTTTCGGAAAAGTGCAAAAACAAAAACGGATCCAGTAAAATGCAAATCTTTCGAAGCATAGAATCAAGTGATTAAACATTTACCATTGTAGGAGGTAAGTATTCCCTGGAAAAATGAAATACCTAATTGTAAATAAATTCATGACTTTAAATCAAGATTTATGATCCAATAAAATTTAATTCAATTGACAAACCTTCAATAATTAATCAATCAATAGAAAATTTGTAAAAGGAATCAAATATATCAATTATTATCAGTAGTGTGATATTTGATCGAATATCTATAAATACGTCTGTAAATTATTACATTCCAAGTAGCTTAACGATAATGTAGAAGGAATTCTTAAATGGCAAAAAAAAGAAAAATTACATTTTAATATTAATTACTATTAAATAATTAGCAATAACTTAATGTTTTTTTTACATTGAATTCATATAATTTACTTTGTTGCCGTTCCTTGAAGCTTATTTATTTATTCTAAATGAGCATTTTAGTTCAATTAATACAGTAATTTTTTTTTTCAAAAATGAAACTAACTTAGTATTCTATCATAATTGTTATTTAATGCAATTATTCAAATCATCAATATCTGTGTAAAGTTTGATTGAAACGATTTCAAATTGTTTAATATTTATTAATTAGATTTATGATGTTTTATTTATTTTTATTTTTATTTTTGAAAAATTTAGATTAAAACCTAGTCGTATATGTTAGTTGTTGATATTTAATGATTTTAAATTCTTTTAACCAATATAATTTCCAAATGAAAATCTTCGAATGTAAGTAAAATATTGGCAAAAATAATAAAAGTAATTTAAAATTTCCAGTATTTAGCTTTTTTTAATTAGCTAATGATAAAATTAGAATGTTGGTTGATAAAATCAAATTGCTTTAATTTGATAGCATATATTATCAAAGATTTTTATACGATAGAGAAACAGAGATACCAATGGTTCATCAAACTTCGTTTCGTTTATTGCGTTGACATTGTTAATCAATTGAAGTTTGATAAATGATTTCCTTTCCTATTTCACCTTTCCCATTTCCTTTCTTTTACTTGAAATAATTTTTTTTTTTAATCTATTTTTTTTCTTTTTTTATACAACAAACTATTAAAGCACAGCAATTAAAGCCTAATTATAAGTTTTTTGAAATTTCAAAAATTTTCAAACCTCTCAAATCGTAGATAGTTTTAGGATAGCATGAATTTTTATTCATACATCACTTTAATTTCAACATCTATCAAATCTTTCCTTAGAGCAAAGAACATTGTCATTGTGGCGATTTACAAGATGGAAGTATTTCTTG